AGGCTCTCTAGACTGGGAAGACTATTATAAGTATTCTAGTCAGTTTTTTTGTTGAAGATAAAAAGTACTTTCAAATACTTAATTTACTACTAGTTGTAATATATGATAGAGATAGATGGATCGATACTAGTGGAAGAGTTCTGTTGTAAGTTGAAGCAGATCAGATAAATAACTGACTACAGCTGCAAGTCATGCGCCTCCTGCAAACGGGCCATTAAGCACAGAACAAAGCATCAAACATTAAACATCACAATCTAGAGGATAATAATTCTACGAAGAAAGCTATCTGGTGAAATATCCTTGACAATAGACCGGTGAGTGCCGCCGGCCATCCGGAAGCACCGCTAACAAGGACGGATTTGCATAGAGGAGATGACTAATTGTGGATAATTATATAGGAGGCTTGGATATGGAAGAGCCCGCGGACAGCCCTCGGCTACGATCCTATCTGCCCCAACGGTAAGCCCCTCCCCTCCCCCCCCCCTGCCACAGCTCACTGCGTACGCTGCACATCTCCCCTGCCCCTGCTCAGATCTAGGAGATAGCTGGATCGGCAACCCTCGGGGCCAACATGACTGTTCCTTGTATTTAGTTTTTTCTCTAGTATTTCTAATAAGGGATCAGAACTAGTGCTATCGATGTGGAACCAATCTATTGTAATTTATGTTTTAGATCGCCTTAGAAGGGAGTTGGTGTTTCAGATCGAGGACTACTTTCATCCATGTAAATGAGAGGGCATGTAATATTATTTCTTTATGTTTAGACATTTTTTAATAATAAATTTATAATTATTTTGATCTATATAAGTATCAGTATATAAACAATAGAGTTTAGATTGTACTTCATGTTAAGTACAATGAGCAAACAATACCTGTTCATGATATATCTGAGCTGAGGATTACGGTATCATCAGCAAAAGTAGCCAGTAGAGTGTCACTGTGTTGCGATAGGTCAGACATATATATATTAAACAATGTTGGTCCAAGGATACAATCTTGAGGCACTCCTGCTTTAATAGATTTAATGTGTGAATGTTCTTTCTCAACTTTTACTACAAAACGTCTGTTAAATATGACAGTAGTATTAAATAATAGGTGGGAGGAAGTAAAGTTTTAAGTTTGGAAAGCGATCCTTCATGCCATACATTATTGAAAGCTTGACTGATGTCAAGAAATACTCCAGGAAAATAACTTTTAGATTCTAAAGAATCAGATATATAATCTATAAATCTATGGCATTGTTGAACAGCAGAATGATGCTTTCTGAAACCGAATTGATGATTTAATAACCGAATTGAATAAATTTAAAGATATCAAGAGAATTGTGACGACACTGCAAAAGAAAGCTACAATAATATTCACCAAAGAATAACTTACAATATAAATCCTCTGACAGAAAACTTTAAACGCGCTAGAAACCCTTACAGCCCATCTCGACGGCCAAGGGACCTGCTGAAATGATCTATTTCCTGGATTTGTGATGGGACGCTGTGGAGCTGCCAGCAAATTAGTTCTTTGCAAAGAAAATTGCAGATCGCACATTTAATTTTATGTTTATGTATTAATGATAATAATAATAATAAATGCTATATATATTCTATTATTTTTGTCTTAATTATTTTAAATATTCACATTTTTTTTGTAATCTGGTATTGGGTAAAATCATGTTTTCCATTATTTTCGCATTCAACAACAAAAAACAGTCCACAGTTTTTAAAAATTGGATTACGCTTAGCTAGACATTTCTAAACTAGCCTTAATTGAGCCTTTCAGTTGACAGAATGACCAACTCCTATTTCAACTTAATCACCGTTTGTACAAATATTCTAAATTTTCCAACTAGAAATATCATTAAAATAATTTTATTCTGTTCATTATTCCTAAAATTGGTGTCTCGAGGTTTTTTTTTGTTATATAAATTAGGCCATTATTCACCAATATTGTATTTATTACCTATTTTAATAAGACGTTTCGACCATCACTAGAGCCATTTTCAAGTCTTATTGAGTCCTCCATTAGGTATTCATTATTAATTTCGTATTAATTTGTTATAAAAAAAAATTAAATTGTCCTGCTATTGAAGAGTTTCCCCTACGTCATTTCTGGAATGACTAAACGTCCTAACGTCATTTTTTGAGTCCCATCAGAAATGACGTAGGGAACACTCTTAAATATGACATTAATAATGGATATCTAATGTAGGTCTCAATAAGACTTGAAAATGGCCCTAGAGATAGTCGAAACGTCGTAATAAAATAGCTAATAAATAAAATTTTGGTGAATAATGGCCTAATTTATATAACAAATCAAAATAATTTTACTCAAAAATGTTGAAATTGGAGTTACTCATTCTGTCAACTGAGAGGCTCAATTAATTATTTACTTATTAAGAGTTCCCAGTTTGCAGAGGGTGTGTCCCATGGTTTAGCTCACAACTGAAGTTACAGAAAAAATAACAGACGTGATTTGTATTACTGAGGTTATTAGTAACACTTAAGTTCATCATGTACTATTCGTCATACAATGCAGAGGAGAATATTTCTAAATAATTTGTTGAAATATTTTTATCTTGTAATCAAAATTATTACAATTTATCACCAATCCCTCGGCAAAATTCCAAAAAGATTGGCAGTAAGTCGGGCATCATGTTAAAGTAAGGAATGTGCAACAGGTTAACAATCGTTACTTTAACATGGTGCCGACGATTTAGTCTCAGTCTTTATGAAATTGATAATTGAAAAAAAAATAGTATGTTGATTTGTATAAAACATCAACAGATTTTGCAGGATTTTTTTTTATTGCAAATATCCAGGCTAGCCATTTTTATTTCAAGAGCGTTTCAAAACCAGACAATTTTTATTTCATTCAATTTGAGAAGTTAATCGGGGTGCCGCCAATATATAAAATACTTTAGTATTCAATAGTATTTTTTATTGAATATTCCAACGTTTCATCCTACCTTATTGGTCTTGTTTAGGGTGTTCAATCTAGCACAACCGGAAGCAGTACGGAGACTGACTCAGACTCAGTGCTTGAAGAAGACCTAGAAGAAGTTCGAAACGTTGGAAATAGCAAATACTATATGCAATATAGTATTTTATAAATTTGCCGCATCCCTACTAACTTTTTCTCAAATCAGAACTACGGTCTACCATCTCAACACTATTATGGATTTAATATAATTTTTTTTCTTTTTTCAATGAAGAAGACAATGCCAAGAGTAAAAATTACGTAAGTAATAAAAGAAATCGAAGAAACCCATTCCAACGTTAATCCACATTATATTGATAAGGAAGCGAGTAAAACAGAATTAATTTAACCGATTTCCAAATAGTTCATTTATTATTTCCTAGCTTAATACGAACTCCCTACCAGCGCAGTTTACTAATGGGAAACAAAGAGGAAACCATAAGCCAATACAAATCTCAATTATGAACACCTCGGCTCGGAGTTGCTGCCGATCTTAGACAAAAGATATCTCGAGACAAAGGGCGGCGCTGCCCCCGGTAAGGCTCGATAATTGGCGGGGTTATAGATACTATAGATACTATCCTCCAACTCGACGAGATATCTATCTCGGCTCCCAGTAGGGCTATGCTAATATTATGATAATAGAAGATGTGGGAGGGGGTCCTTTTATTGCTCCGGCTCTCTGCTCATCGCCCTCTCTCCGTCTCTCAGTCTATTATTCCCTCATCATCAGTTTTTAGATCTCTGCACATAGATAAATTGTTTCGCTTCAACTAAATAATAATAGTTATAGGGGAATTGATAAATGAAGATGAAAGAATATAACTAAAATTATATATAAAGATTAACCGAGAAAATTGTTCAGTATCATTATTTTGTGAGAATGAAGGCCATCATGTGGCAGGTTTACACGAAAGCCAAAACATGAATTGATTTAAAAAAAAAAACATCATAGTTTAACAAAAGATTAAGACGGAGGAGAGCAAGACCTGTGACAGGAAAGTCAAATCATTGAGCAATTGTTTATATGAAATTTTGTAGAACTTGATTTTTATTATAAACATTTCAAATATTTCCCTCTACTTACGGGACACCCTATATATATATATTGTAACATATTTTATTAGGGCCTTTATAAATTGTAATTGTTAATAGAACGCATGTTCATGTTTTGTTCATTTATTATTTTGAAACTGTGTGAAAAGAAGCATTTATATGTAATATATTTATAAATTAAATTTATTGCTATGTATTTTATTAATTTTAGTTGTGAAATTGTAAAAACAATAATAACATTTAACTATCGATGAAGATTAAAAGGTACGATGTATTAGAGCTAACGGACGGGAGGTCCTTCTCTGTCAAAGGTTGAATTGTAAATGACTAGTGGTATGGCGTTTTGGAGGATGCGCGTGGCGCCCTCTAGGCGTTGTTCTAATGAACTATTTTATTCATTTATGCAAGTCATTGTTTTTTCTAATAATGATTAATAATTTTAGTAGCGCAACCTGTTAATTGCGTAGTGAACTATATATTTCATTTTAAAACTATTTATTATTTCCATTTGTAATTAATGCTTTTGTAAATAACTAATGTTTGTAATATTTTTAAAATAAGTGTTCATGAGATATAATTAAATAAAAATAAAAGGAGTTTGGACTTAGAGATCTCAGGGCCTAATTAAAATAATTGTTACTAGTGTTGCCTCTCACAGGTCTGAGGGCTCACTATTAGTATGAATAGCAGCCTGACCCCTAGGGCAGGCACTCTCTCCCGAGTCACCTTCTCACATAGGCTCCTGGTATCTCTCTGTCTGACAGTTTGAAACCAGACCAATGTGTTATTTTTTGGTTTTACCTTCCTCCTTCTCTTTTCTCTCCTAACCTACCTCCTCTCTCCCTTCGTAGGAATAACTTGGTTGGCCCTTGTTTTCCTACAGTCCCCCTTGCATCTTCCAGGTTGTCCCTGGGAGTGTAGGGTTACCTATCCTCGCAATGTCAGGGGATTGCCTCCTCGGTTGCAGAGCCCTGG